GGCTCGCGAGCCGCAGTTTGCCGACCACTGGATGTTTAAAGCTGACTTTGTCCTCTTGGGTCTTATGTTTCTTGTCCCTGTTGGAGTCTTCTGATGGTGGCTTCTGATGGCGGCTGCTCATCTGTCATTCCTCCCTTAGCTCATGGGTATACTTTAGTATCCAGATCCTTTAATCCTTTGGGCTCTTGTTGGGGCCCCTCAGTTCTTCCAAGCAGTCTTCAGGGCCAGGGTCTCTTTATAGATAGCTCCAGGCCACCATCTCTATTCTAGGCTTCTATCAGCATTTCCCTCTTACCATGATGGGGGTACAGCTCTCTCTACTCCTCTATGACAATGCACTAACTAGTCAGCCACAGTCTCTTGCTTTTGATACTGTTATAGGCATAGGTTCAGCACCAGTCTAGTAATGTCTAATATATTCTCCAAGTGGTCCCTTAAAAATCTAATCACTTGGTTTAATGTGAAGGGTAAGCTTCTCTCCTCTTCTATAACACTTCTATAACTCTGCCCCCTGCTCCGCCCCCGCCCCCCAACACCCCGCCAAAAAAAAAAAATGAAAGAATCAACGCCACTTCCACTTTGATCTCAAGCCTTTAATATTCTCAGGGTGGTTGGTATGCTTAGGGCTGCAGAATGGATGTTCATAGATCTTCTTTGCAAGTCCTGCATAGATGGCTTAGCACCTTACTCTGGAATGTGGGGTTGCTTTGTACCTATGGCTTTGTGCTAAGCTTTTGGGTTCTCAGTCCAAACTGAGGGAGAAAGAATTGTATTTCAGTATCTTATTACACATATCCATACCTATCTATAACTAAATTGATATGATGTCGCATTGTATAAAGCTCATGGATTGAGAAAGGAAAGCTGACACAGTGAATAGAGAAAATAATTGTAAAGTCACTGAGCCCACTCGGGCTGCTATAACACCACAGACTGCGATGCTCATAAATATTGACTTTTCACAGTTCTGGAGGCTGGAGGTCTAGGATCAGGGTGTGGCAGATTCAGTGCTTGGTGAGGGGCTGCTTGTTGACTCATAGACAGTTGTCTTCTCGCTGTGTCCTCACAGGGTGGGAGAGCCAGGGACCTCTGCGAGGCCTCTTTTATAGGACATTAATTCACCTCATGAGAGCTGTTCCCTCATGACCTAACTACCTCCCACCTCCTAGTTCCATCATCTTGGGTGTTCGGTTGCAACATATGACTTGGGAGCTGGGGCACACAAACCTTCAGTCGATAGCAGTCATTCTCATAGCAATGGAGCCCAAGGGCAAAGGGTCATGAACACCCTCCAACCTCCATTTCTCCCGAGATCTGGTTGTTCATCTTTTCCTGGGTCCCTGTGTGTGTGTTCCTTCCCATTTGTTGAAGCAACTTGAATGAACCCCCAAAAGCCCAGCCAGAGAACCCTCTAACACTGCACTTGCTTCTCACCAAGTACTACTCTCCCGGAGTCAGGCCCGGGACAACCGGGGACGCTTCAAACACAGGCGCTACAGCATGAAGCTGACAGCACAGCAGCTTTTTGGGGCTTCTGCAAGGCCAGGTGGAACCTCTTGGCTTAATATTTCCTGATTACTTGCTAGGAAACCACTGAGTTTTGTGTTTTGTTAATCCTCACCCAAGGATATTTTTTCATTGATTTTTTAGGGAGAGTGGAAGGGAGGGGGAGAGACAGAGAGAAACCTTGTTTGAGAGAGACGCATTGATTGGTTGCCTCCCACATGTGCCCCAGTTGGGGCCATGGATTGAGCCTGCAACTGAGGTACGTGCCCTTGACCAGAATCGAACCTGGGACCCTTCAGTCTGAGGGCCAACACTCCAATCGCTGAGCCAAACCAGCTAGGGCAGGAAACCACTGTTTTTAAATGACAGGCAAGGGGAGGGGACATTCTGAGGACAGTGACCCCCATGCTCTCCTCCCAGGGGGTATCCCTGGGGTGTCTGCTAACTGCCTGGGTTAAAGTAGAAAGGAAGTTCTGTCTTTAATTTTCCTTTGGGATTTAGTTTCTCTTTGCAGGCCAGGAAAGTGATGCTTATTCTTTAGACTCTTTTCTACTATTTATATATATATATATTTTTTTTTAGCAACGTCTGTGACTATGCTCCCTGCTCATTAGCAATCATTTGTCTTTTTGGTCCTCCTCATCGGCAGGAAAGTGTTTGGAAGTAAACTGTTTGAAATATCTAGCTTTTTGTTCTTGTTTGTTCCCTAAGGACATTTATCTTTTTATTATCTTACCCTATCATGTTTTTGTTCCTCCGAAGGGCTTAGCTTTTATTATTTATGTTTTATACATAATTTTACGATGTTTTCTTTTGAAATATTTAATTTTTATTTTAAAAGATTCTTAAACACTTAGCTTTAAAAATAATCATTTGTAAGGGTCTTTTTTTCCTGTTTTATCTTTTTCAAGCTTCCGTCCCAACTTCAAATGTTTCATTTTAATTTTCTTCTCTTTTTCTCTCTCTCTCTTTTTTTGATATTTAGTTTTATGATTTGTTTCTCTCTAGCCAGCGAGCTGTGTGTGTGTCTCCCATGCCGACAGGTTCCTTCATTTCTCCTTGACTTTCATCACCTTGACCTTTTTGAAGATGAAAGGCAGTTATTTTGTAGAGGTCCCTCATGGTGGGTTAGTTTGTTTCCTTCTGATTGGATTCAGGAGCAATGATAGAGGAAGATGTTTTTCTTGTTGGGTCCTGTCAGTGGAGTTCAAGGTTAATTTGTCTTGTCATGAATGGGCGTGCCTCCATCGCTGAAGTTAGTGTCCGCTAGGCTTCTCCATGGCAGTGTGTTCCTTTGCTCCTTTGTGATTAAAAAGTAATTTGTGGGAAGGACTGTGACACTATTTAGATATACTCCTCATCAAACATTAAATTTATTCATATGTTTATTTATATTAGTTTAGACCCGAGTCAGCAAACTCCTTGTGGGAATGAGGAGAGACATTACTATCTAGGAAATATTTCAGGTTTGCAGGCCAAGAGGCCAAACTGAGGGTATTATCTAGGCACTTTTATAATAAGAGGAAAAAATGTCCATAAAATTTCACTGATGAAATGAAAAACATAATTATTACGTATATATTTTTGCAATGCAGTTCTCCTAATAAGAATGGAGTTCTTTTTTTGGGGGGGGGGGCGAGATTAGACTTACTTAGGGTTCAAAGTTAGTGTCCCCTATTATCAAATTGATTGCAAAAGTTTACTTGTATAAACCACACAAAACAGACAGCAGGCTAGATTTGGTCCACAGGCCATAGCCTGCTGATTCACGGGTTGGCCTTTTACTCAACGGGTAATAGTCTGTTACTAACATGTATTTTGATGTTCAAATTGCCTCTTAATTTGACTGGTACCAGCACCTTCAGGCTGGCTTCTGGGTCCTGTTGCCATTTCTCCATCATTCTCCAAACACTTCTGGACATTTGGCACACGATGCTCCAGCCTCATTTTGTATTTTTTCTCTCCAGTCCTGAAAGCAGCCATTTCTTTGAAAAGCCCTGGAATCTTTCAGTGGATCTTGAAAATTGCTCAAAATGCTATAATATCTTCCATTTAGAAAATAGAACAAAAAACGTCTCCCTTGATCCATATTCCTGCTCTAGCTATTGCCCCATTTCTCTATTCTTTACTAAACTTACTGAAAAAACTATCTAAACTTGCCCTCTCATCTTCTCCCTCTTGAATCCTCTCTGGTCATGCTTTGGCTCCATCATCTCACTGAAAAAGTTCAGGCCACCAATGTCCTCCATCTGTCAGACACATGGTCACCCTTCATTCTTTCTTATATAGCCCCTCAGTTAAACATACCTTATCATGCCTTTTAAAAATTAAGATGTAATTGATGTCACCCTAGCTGGTGTGGCTCAGTTGGTTGGAGCATCATCCCATACACCAAAAGGTGGCAGGTTCGATTCCCGGTCTGGGCACATGCCTAGGTTGTGACTTCGATCCCGATTGGGAGCATGCAGCAGGCAACTGATGTTTCTCTCTCACATTAATGTTTCTCTCTCTCTCCCTTCCTCTCTCTAAAATCAATTTTTAAAAACTTTAAAAAGATATAATTGCTGTATAACATTATATTAGTTTCAGGTGTATAAAAAAATTTGGTATTTGTAATTGTGAAATAATCACCACAATAAGTCTAGCTAACATCTGACACCACACAGAATTATAGTTTTTTCTTTCTGTTGATGAGAACTTTTAAGATCTACGCTCTTAACAACGTATGCAATGAAGTATTGTTAACTATAGTCACCATGCTGTACATTACATCCCCAGGGTTTTACATTTTAACTACCTTCACCCAATTTGCCCTCCCCCCACGCCCACACCCCCATACCTGCTGGCAGCCAAAATCTGTTCTCTGTATCTATGAGTTCGTTTTGTGTGTGTTTTCATTTAGATTCCACATATAAATCATATGGCATTTGTCTTTCTCTTTCTGACTTATTTCACTTGGCATAATGCCTTCAAGATCTACCCATGTTGTCTCAAATGGCAATGACTTCCTTTATATGGTTGAATAATATTCCAGTGTGTGTGTGTGTGTGTGTGTGTGTGTGTGTGTGTGTGTGACAACTTTATCCATTTATCTAACAATGGACACTTAAGTTGCTTCCATATCTTGGCTGTTGTAAATAATGATTCAATGAACACAGGAGTGATAATATCTCTTGAGATAGTGATTTTATTTTCTTCAGATAAATACCTAAAAATGGGATTCCTGGATCATATGGTAGTTCTATTTTTAATTTTTGGAGCAAACTCCATACTGTTTGTTTTCAATAGTGGCTGCACCAATTTACAATTCCAGCAATAGTGCACAAGTGTTCCCTTTTCACCACATCCCCACCAATACTTTTTATCTCCAGTCTTTTGAGAATAGCTATTCTAACAGGTGTGAGTGGTATCTCATGGTGGTTTTGTTTGCTCACCCTCCTTCCTGAAGTCCTTGGCCTTTGGGAAATCACTTTCATTGCTCCTACTTCCGTAGAGGCTCCTTCTCAGTCTCTTCTGCTAGCTCTTCCTGATTTCTTTTCTATTTACATTTACTCTCTAGATGACCCACCAAGTCCATGGCTTTTAAATAAAATTACATGTGGATGATTTATATTCCCATCTCCAAACTCTGTCCTATGTTCAATTCCTCTTTTCAACTGCCTACTTGTTACACATCTCCACCAGATGTTCCATAGGTATTATAAACTTAAGTATTAAACTAAACTTGATTCCTCCCCTCTCAAATCTGTGTACCCTGTAGTCTTCTTCTCAATGATGGCATCTTACTAATTATTCAGGACAAAACATTTAGAGTTAGTGTTTCCTTCTCTTACATTTCACATGCAATCCATCCACACATCCTGTCAGTTACACCTCAAGTCCAATCACTTATCATCACCTCTACCAGTACCACTCTAGTCTAAGCCACCATCAAATTTTCCTACCTCTTCTTATCTCATACGGAGTAGGCTCAAAAGCCTTGACCACAGCTGACAGGACTATTCATGACCAGTCACTCCTGTCAATTCTCTGACTTCATCTCTTACTTCCCCCACCACCCTGCTCTGATTCTAACACCCTAACCCCATTTGCATATTCCCTCCTTGTTCATTTGAATTCACTGTTTTTTCTCCAGGGCAATCTTTCCCCAGCTGTCCCCATGGCTCCTTTCCTGTCTTCATTTTTCACCTTATCAAAGAGACTCTATCACCTTTCCTGCTTTATTCAACTTTAAACATTTATGACCACTTGCCATGTTATTGATTAATTAATGATATATTTTAGCCTCACCTCCTATCCCCACTAGAATATACCTAGATAGCCTAACAAACCTGCTATATAATCAGCTATATAATAAAATTATTTTAGAAAGATAAAAACAATAGTAGCATGGAGGATCCAATGCCTCGGAGGATGGAAGTGCTGGGAAATTGGTACGTACTGGAAAATACCTATTGGATTGGGCAACTGAGGAGACCAGCAACCTTGAGAGCAGTTTTTGTAGGTTGTTGGGTAAAGACACCAGATCTCAGCAGGTTGAGGACATCCTCTCCCTCACAGTCTCCTTGTTATTCTCCCAAAAATCTCTTCCTCACCCTTTGCAGCTCAGTTCTTATGATTATAGTCATCCCTATGTACTAAGCATTCCCCATGAGGTATTGTCCGTTGCTGCCTTCCAGCAGGGCACAGGCTGCCGGAGGAGAGCCCAGGTTGTTCCCAATCAGATGGTGTGGGTGTGTGTTTGTAGAAATAATAATCATTCACAGCAACAAAAGTAAGAAAAGCAAAGCAAGAATGCACCTGACGTGGAGTAAATGCGTGCTGAAGGGATCCCGAGAGAAGAGGCGACGCGGGAAGGAAGCAGGACCCCCTGTCTGGCTCTGGAGCACCAGGACTGACTGGGATGCGACCTTGTAATTGAGAGCCGATCAATCCTGAGGCCGGTGCTCTGACCCCTGGAGAAGGCGCTCTCTTCCCTGACACTGAGCCCTTCTCAAAGACCCAGGGCCGGCAGGTCTCCCTGTGAGATATCCCGAGAGAAGAGGCGACGCGGGAAGGAAGCAGGACCCCCTGTCTGGCTCTGGAGCACCAGGACTGACTGGGATGCGACCTTGTAATTGAGAGCCGATCAATCCTGAGGCCGGTGCTCTGACCCCTGGAGAAGGCGCTCTCTTCCCTGACACTGAGCCCTTCTCAAAGGCCCAGGGCCAGCAGGTCTCCCTGTGAGATGCACACTGGTGCCTGTGGCCAGGATGATGGATGAGCAGGTGAAGCTGCTCAGGGCAGCTGAGGCCAGTGAGGCTGCGCAGGGGGAGAACCATGATAGCAGACACAGCTCTGTGTATAGAGAGTGCTGAAGGCTAAAGAACAGGACCCTGGGGAGCACCAACCAAGCACAGGGCAGCTTAACAAGGTGTGTGTGTGTGTGTGTGTGTGTGTGTGTGTGTGCGTGTGTGTGTGGTGGGGGGGGGCATGAAGAAAGCAGAGAAGGGCTGCCACAGAAAGATGGAGAAAACAGAGTGTGAAGCGCCATGGAACCACGAGAGAAGACAGCCCCGCCACGAGGCAGGGGGCACCAGCAGTGTCTGCCGAACACTCCAGAGAGGTCCCTGCTGTAAGGCCTACAAACGCCTCCTCTGGCCTTCGTCCTTAGGTGGTCCCTCAGGGGAAGTTGGGGAGAGGAGTATCAACAGAGAGGTTTCAATGGGCTGAGAAGCAAATGGACACTCAGGACAGGGGACAAAATCAGTGGGATTGTCACATTTAGCAAGTAAAAACCCAGGATGCCCAGTTAAATGTGAACTCAGCTAAAATTTAAATTTCAGGTAAGCAATAAATAACGCTTTAAATATAAGTGTGCCTCAGTTATCTGTTGCTTGTCTGAAATTCAAATTTAATGAGTGTCCTGTACTTTATGTGGCAATCCCACCAGGGTGGCCCGTGGACTTCCCTTTCAGGAAAGCAACATGGCTGGGCAGAAGGATGCGTGCTCGGGCTGTAGCTGGAAAGGGACCAGGTCAATGTCTACGATGGAATGGTCTGAGCATGTCGGGCAGTGACAATGCTTTCTATCACTTGCGTACAGGCTGAAGAAAGAGAGCCAATAGGAGAGTCAAAGGTACAATTGACGAAATAATGGATTATTTAAACTATGGGCATGTAGCAAGGACCAGAAATCATTTCCTTGGACCCACCCATAGAAAGTACACTGTTCCTCCCCAACCCCCATCCCACAAAAAGCTCAAAAAATTCAAATTTCCAGTTTTCATTTGTAGGTGGGTTGCTGCTACTTTGAAACTGTGGGACTGCAGCCTTAATAAGGGCTCTTGCCAGTCATGTTTTCCTTTGTTCTGTGGGGTTTTTTTGGTGTTCTGATGGGCCACTATGGCTGCAAGTCTTTTTCTCAATAGAACAGCCACTCTGTCAACTTCATTTCCTACAATCCCATCACCAGAAAAAAACACTTTTAGTTGCTGGGCTCCATGAGCAGTTCAGGCCACAGCCTGGGTCTCCCAGCAGAGCGAGGGAATCGGATGAGTGCTGTGATTGAGCACGTCTTCCTTTCTCTAGTTTTAATCTTCCTGCAAATGACGAAGCTGTCAAAGCCGCTTTTGATGATGGAAGAATGATGTTGTCGAAGTCACCACATAACATACCCGACAGCTGTTTTTCTTCTTCATTACACCCAATTCCAGGGTCACATCTGGTTTGCAAAACTGGAAGACTTTTTGGCTATTTATGTTCCTTTTGCTCTAATTTCTTAGATTTCTGCCAAATGGGTAGCCCTCACCAGTCCTTTGATTCTCTGTTTGTTTGCTAGAAAGAAATAAAAGGGCTCCCGCCTCCCCTTTCCACAAATACTAACCCTGCATTTATTTCATTTTAGTTCATTTTGGGCAGACTCCGGCCCACCAACTCTAATTCTTTGCTGGGTTTTAAGCATGCAGACCCCATAGCAGAAGCAGAGCTGGCTTCCGCTGCCTTCCTAAGAATTTCCCTGACTGCTAACTATTTGGATGTTAGCAAATGTCCTTCCTTCATGAGGGACCCTGAGACATTTGGTAAGAAAAAAAGTGACAACATAGGGCTACACAAATTCCTTCCCCCAAATTATTTGTTCTACATTAGCCTCCAAACAAGAGTTAACCAACATTAAAGAAAACACCAACGCCCTGCCCCTAATGCTGCTGGTCCTGTTTCGGATCAGTTCCAGGCTTCCTGGGATCCATGCCCTTGGAGAACAATCGCTTTCAACAGGTGGCCTCAAGGTAACCCAAGTTCTGCCTTTGCTTCCTCTCAGGTTAGAGCTTGTTTGGCTTTGGTACCAGGCACTCTAGATTGGGAAAGGGGAGGTTATGTTTGGGACCTGGTCCCAATTAAAATATCTCACTGAGTAATTTCAGATTCATTCTTTCTATGGTGCCTATTCCAGGGGTCGACACGGACAGAAGAGGCTGGAGCTAACGCTGGGGCCAGGCCAGGCCAGACAAGTTTTCTTTACGAATCAAGTATTTGCAGAATCTCCAACAGGCAAGTGATCAGCAGGCCCTTCTAGGCCCTTCTCCTGCTGGGCTGACGGGGGCACCAGGTGCGTAACCCAACCTCTGGAAGGACGTCTCCCGGCACGTGTGGCCTACGTCCCCTGATCTGGAGGTTGAAGATCTGAACCTATTTAAGTCACAAAGGATTGTGAGTCCCTGTCGTCCAGGGGCTCCCAGACTTTTAATTTCATGGTCTATTCCCATGGGGGGAAGGGCAATGAACAATACAATAGGATGTCAATTGTTATTTTGCCAATTGAACAAATAAAATGCTCATTTTCTGCCATCATCTCAGAAAAGGACACTTTAACATAAAAAATATAGAGGACTTATTCTCTTACTTTTAACATAAAGAATATATCCCAGTTCTTTCCCAGAAAGGCAGTTTTAAATTTATGCAGGCATTACACAAACCTGTTAAAATATGTGTGTGTGGACGCATGGACATCAATATACACACATGCTCATTATCCTTCTTAGTTTTTCCTTATTACATGGCAGCTTAAATGTACTGAGTTAGCTCATGGACTCTGGGGTCAGATTACCTGAGTTCAAAGGTAGGCTCCACCACTCATATTCTGAAGAACCTCAGATAAGTTACTTACCCTCTCTGATCCCCGGTTTTATCATCTATGAAGTGAAGGTGACAATAGCACACACTTCCCGGAGTGGTTATGAGAGTAAATGAGTTAATATGTGAAAAGCACTTATCACAGGAAACATCCCGTCAATAATAGTCATCATCATCATCATTACACCGCCACAGACCAGCATGGGCCTGTGGGGACCATTGCCAGGGCAGCCCTCTGCTTACAGGTGAGGAACACCTGAAGTCCAGAGCAGGCCTGGCTTGTCCAGCTAAGGGCCACGCCAGTTGCTGAGCAGAGAAGTGAAGCTCCTGTCTCCCAACCAAGTCTGGTGTATCTCTGAGGTCTAGTAACAAGTGCATTTGACAAGTGGTTGGGGTGGGGCAGAAATCGGTGGGCACCTGACCAGTGCCCGCAGGTGGGGGTAGGGAGCTGGCCCTTTAGCAGGATACAATGACCAGCTTAGGAGCCACCGAGACGAGGCAGTCTGGCCACTGCTGCCCTGCTTTCTCTTTCCTTCAACCCCAGAGAGAATGAAAATGAGTAGGTGGGGTGTAGGGCTGCAGAAGTTCCCACGTGGGATGGGAGTAGGAATGCACTTTCCAACTCTTCCTCCTCCTGCCTTCAGTCCCCACAGAATACCTGCTGATCCCCCTTCCCCAAGTCCCGCCTCACACTCTGCCAGTGGCCCCGCCTCTGGGTGCAGTCTGTGGATGGAGGCCCTGCCCTGTCAGTCATGGGGCACCAGAGAGGCAGGACTGGAATGATGCCCCAACCTCCTGACTTATTTTTGCTACTGTGGTTTGGGGGCTGGTCCCCATTTTCTAAGCAGATTCCGCCTTGGTGAGGCCACCAGATCAGATAGAACTGCCCTCAGAGGCTGGTGACAGACCCTGTCGCTGTGGCAAGAAATCAGGCTGCCCGAGGCAGGCCCCTTTGGTCCCTCTGCCCCATTACCCTTTGCTCATGGCTTTCATCCTCACAAATGCCCCCTGACCACATGTTCCAGGAAGAAGAAAACGGAGAAGGGTGACACGGAAGGGGTGAGTCTGCAGGAAACCCAGACTGTCCCATAAGCCCTCCAGCAGCCTCTGCAGATACCTCATTGGTTGGTCACATGGCTGCTGGTGTGGCAAGGGAGGCCGGGAAATGCGTTGTGTCTGGGTGACAGATTGTGGTTTCCTTAGGAAGGAAAGAGAGAATGGATACTGAGTAAGACACGTTGTCTTCCAGGAAGTTGTAACCAGAATAAAATTAGGCCTTTTTGGTTCCCCACCAGGGTCTCCTTCAGCAGGGCCACATCTGAAGGCATGCTGGTCCAGTTCCGGAACCTTACACTCTATCCCGGGCTTTCCAGAGATCCCTGCCCACAGCGTCACAGAGCACCCAGCACCCAGACAGCCTCTCCAAGCCTCTTTATACTCTCAATAGCTCCTCAGTCTTCCTCTCTCTTGCAAAACAAAAGAAGACAAAGCAAAAACAAAGAGCAACCCCTAGCATGAGCTGCTTCTCTCTTCACCCTTCACCCTCCCACCTCCTCTTGCATGTTCCTGTGTTTTCCCTCTTTCTTGTGGAAACTGATTCGGTCTCTGGGCTTTTACAACTCTAGGGCTCTTCCCATCACCTCTGTGGACGAAAGGGGCCACAGGCTGACCTGACAGGCTCAGGGGAGGCCTGCATGGCGGTCTTGCAAACTCAGAGACCTAAAGTCACCACAAAGGATGGTCTGAAATGAAACTTGAACTAAAGCAGTTTTGGTGGGCAGTTACATTGTAGGCCAGTATCTTCACTGACAAGGTCAGCCTTTACCTTCACTGAGCCTATCTGTCTTTTTGCATCTATGATAACATACCCTTGAAATGTCTGGGTAACTTGTAACTTCCCTTTTACTGGAGCCCCTGGGGCACAGCCAGGTGTGCTGGGCCCAGGACAGATACCACAGATTCCTTCATCATCATGTTAATTAATCCTGCACCCACCTAAGTATGTGTCCATCATTTTACTTTTTATCCAATCCCAGGGGTTTCCCTGCTTTGCTTTATCCCTCCTCCTTAATCTGTCACCAATGAATTTCATATAACCTATCTATGAACCTCCCTTGATGGCAAATGTATAAATACAAATGTAACCCCGCCAATTCTCCGGAACATTATCTTAATTCGTTGAGGTTCTGCTTCCCGGCATATGTCGACAGTTTGGCTCAAATAAACTCACAAAAATTCTTTACAGGTTTCAATGGCTTTTTACGTTAACACCCCTATAAGCACAGCCAAGGCTGAAACTATAGAAACTGGGAGATTGTGTAAGGCCGGTAAGTTATCCTTTGCTCTCTCCCCTGCTGCCCAGCTTAAGAGCGAGTGAGCCTGTGTGAACCCTAGCCCTGCTTACACACACACACCGTCAGGACACCTGCCCTATCCCTCCCTCAGCCTCCTGCTGTGCTGGATCTGAGTTTAGTCTGAATTGCCCCTCCCCACCTTGATACCCATCCCACTAGTGTCAGCCAAATGATTTCCATCAGCTCCTTCACAGACCCGCTTAGATCCACTCTGAGGCGGTCCCTCATTACCCTCCTCTGGCCCCATCCAGCCCATCCACGGTGCTAGTCTGAGAGGGTAGAGGCTGCTTGGTATGACCTTTATTTCACTTGGTATTCAACTTGTGGATCACGCGTCTGTTTCTTTCTATCGGTTCTGTCTCCACAATTAGACTAGGAGCAGCCTGGGGGTAGGCGCTGGGTCTCCCGTCAACCCCTTGGGGTGAGGGTTATGCGGTTCTTTTTTTCAGATGTGCTTTGAGCACCTTCATGTGTCAGGCATTGAGGGAGATGCTGGACTACAAGGCAGACCCAGTCCCTGGCTTCCCCCTGGACCTGCCTCTCCTGGGCCTTTCTGGCCCCCAGGACAGACCCATCGGCATGACTGACCACTGTCTTGACAGAGAGGAGGAAGGGGGTTGGGAATCCGCCTCAGAGATGAGCCCCGTGCTGCCTTCCTGGACTCCAAATTCATAGCACTTCAGCGGCTCCTCTGAAAAGGCCGGCCTCCTCCCAGCGCCGGCCTCCGTGTTACTCTTGGCTCCGCTTGCCTGCCACGCAGCCAGTGACTAAAGGAGATTTTACTGCAAATGTGGGCAGTCAGCTGAGTTTCCAAGTCAAAGTTTTTCCACTTGAAGCTTTTTCCTTTTCTCTTTTGCCTAAATAGCAAGTTCATTTTGTGGAGAGGGGGGCGGATCAATTCTCCTTCTAAGGGTTAAAGACTTTATGAGGAAAACCGCTATGGGGAGGTAAGGGGGTAGGGGGCTGGGCACAGCGTAGGCCAAAGCCCTTCTGCTGGGAGGGAAGGAGGAGGAAGCCACTGAGAGGACTCTCCACCCCAGCAAGATGGAGGGTGGCATCAAACCAGAGAGGCCAAGCCTTTCCTCCGCCTTCCCCCTACTCCATCTCTTTTTCTTCTACCTTCTCTCCCTTTTTCTTCCCTCTAGCTTCCTGTTCTGTTCTCTCTCTCCTTGCCATTCACTCATTCACTCATTCATTCATTCATTTTCTCAGCAGACATTGCTTTAGCCCCTGCTCCCTGTCAGACACAGCACTGTAAGCTAAGAATGTAGAGACAAAGTCAATTCTGGGGGCTCTCACAGTCTAGGGCTGTGGAGGGTGGGCCACACAGAAGACAGGTTCGGGGGAGGAGTGACAACTGGCAAAGAGTTAACTGGCAAGTCTCCAAGTGCATTTAGAGGCTCAGGCAGTTCATCCAAATTGTGGGAAACTGTGGGTTGGGGGAGACGAGACGTAGGGAACCTCTAGTGAATATCTGCTGCAGCCTGGCCATTAATATCCCCTGTCCCATCCGACGGAGAGGGGAGGACTAGTGGGAAAGAACAGGGGCCATGTGAACACACTGCCCCCCATCCACACCCCAGGCACACCTCTTTCTGTGTGGTCATAACAAGTCACTGAATCTTTTTGGGAGCATAGTAGTAGCAGCAGTAGTAGTATTTCTTATTTCTTTATAAAATAGACTTTATTTTTTTAGAGCACTTTTAGGTTCACAGCAAAACTGAGCAGAAAGTCTAAAGAGTTCCCCATACATCCCCGCCCTCCCCCCCACGCACAGCTTCCCCCACTG